CTGTCTGGGAAGAGAGTTAAACCTGTTACCTCCCGAGAATGAAGCAGGAGTGCCAACCAGTAACCGCAAAGTTCGGACCTCGGAAACTTTCTAGACATCATGTCGGATCACCAAATCGTTGTCAGGAACTTATAGAATTGTGCTGTGTAGTATCGTTTGTTAAATCGTTGTGACAAGGATAACGCGGTGTTCAGAGAGACTTGTTACAGGCTGGGTGATCGATTTACACTTCCGCGTACGTCTTACGGCCGACTCACCGACTCTGCAGGTTACGTCTTTGTCTAATTGGAATTGTGGGGATAAAGCGTCTGGAGTCTGCATTTGGCTGGTCACGCACCTTAACAGTGAATTTACACCTTATCATACGATTGGCAAATACTGACTGACCACAAAATTTTACTAAAAGTTTGCTATCATAATGAATGTTAAACAAACTTCAAGTGCGATAATTCTAATCGTGCCTTCGGTAACTAAATAATACTTGAAAAATATTGATTCTTTTTCTGGGTAACGCCAAAGGGGAAGAAATTTGTTACAGATGAAGATTGAAAATTCAGAATGCTTTTTTTATCCTCTGTACACAGAAAGGCTAAAACACTGTTTGTTTTAATGGATAGTTAATATGACAAACTTATCTCTTATGATGGTCTGCATATTTGTTTCAGTATCGTAATACAATCTAGCCTTAATCAATCTCATCAGCTGACATCTGATGCCTTTCGGTACAGACTTAATAAATAGACGTTAGTTGGACGGAAAATTTACAGATGTTATTCCATAAGTAATTTCTTGATACTCCCTATTTCTGACTCCTTATTTTTTGTAATATCATCCTGAGGGAATTTTAATTTCCGAGGTGGTGACGACGTTATTAGCCACGCCCATATCGATCATAATTATCCTATCTTGCGTATTTGGAAGTTTGTGTGTACAAACTTTATAAATAAAGTGAGACCAGTTCGGATCAGCTTCTGTGCCATAGTAAATAGATTTGATTCACGCCTAATATTATCATGGCCAAAATTGTTTACTGCTCGGTTCGCAGTGTTTCATGCGTGGTTATGTAACAGATGACGATGAAGACCTCAGTCAAGTACCTGTGAATCTTCTGTACATTTCTAATAGACTACACGGCGCAACAACCCAGAAGCCAATCATTTTTACTTCAATCCTAGTTGGAGTTCTGGTATGTGTAAATGATTACCCCCACGTTAATTACTCGTCGTATTTTCATTATTAATACTCATATATTTGACGTTACATTTTCTTGAAGCCTTGCACAATTCAGTACGGGTATACTGAAACGCTCTTAAAGCAGATAGGGTATATGACACATTGCCCCAAGCATGGAACACGCGTTGCAGAGCCTGGATATCGTTTTGTCCTGTGCTTCACTTGAGATTGTAATCATAAACCGATAAAAGGTAATATAATTCACTTGTTAGTCTGGATAAGAGGATAATAGTCCAACTACTCACTTGTATCTAATATAAAGGTTAGGTGTGCTACTGTACCAGTGTTTCGAAAAATTTATTTACCCGTGGCAAACTCTAATTTGTCAGACATGACTGTACACCACAGAATTTCTCCTCACGGAAACAGAATACAAAACTATAAGTTTTACATGAACATAAATACGCATCTGCATGTAAATCTTTGCTCTATAATTGTACACATTTATGAAAACAAAACATAACACGCTGAAGAATCCTGTCGATGATGATGAACTAATGTATATGATAAAAAAAATTAAAAAAATACGACTATAAGTTATTTAAAGCCATCTTCTTGGAGGTACTGAGAAAAAGGCGAAGTTGTTTTAAGACAGCAATTCACTCGGAAAGGATTCGAACCGGGTAACATACGTCACAAACACATTACAACTGCACTGACCTGCCGCGTGGCTTTGGTGCTAATGGAGTTAAAACGTACATTTGTGATGTCACACAATCAGTTCGTTAGTCATTTTTCACGTCCAGTTTAATGAGCGCATTGATTTAAGCAAATTGGACTTGACTAATAGCGTTATGTAAAATATGATACGGTGTACGAGACGGCAGTGTGCGGATAACGAAATATGGAAAACTCGTGCGAAAACAAGCGAGCGAATTTGTGCGCCAACGACAGAGCGTCAGGTATCTGTGTTAGAGAGGAATGTTATTGAAACATCTGCCGAAACATCGGATATCTGAGTGAGTGGTTCTGCTGTTCACTATGTCCTTCGATGAAAATGCAAGACTATTAGGCTAGATTTTAGGTTCTAACGTCGCCAGATGTGAAAATGACTATCTCCCGGGACGTTGCGTCGTGGTAGACTGATAGAAATTAACCGACGTTTCAGAGATGAATACTGCTTCCATCGTGGTCCCCTAATGATGAAAGCAGAGATCACATTCGAAATACTGGTAATTTTTAGGCATTTCACCCCAGGAGACTAATCACCTTCACGAATAAGATCTTTGAAACAAGACATTGTTTCTCATTTTTGTTACTGGGTTCGGTTGCCAACAGACACAGCAGCTTTTTAATGTTCCTGGGTTTGATGTTGTGGTCTAGAATGCATGGGTAAAAAGTAAAAGTAAAGTTTGTGCCACTATACGCCATGTAGGCGCTTGTGGGGGGAGTGGAGGTATAGCTCCTCTCTTCCTTGACCTCGACACTAGATGGGGGTGAGTGGTCAGCATCACGCCCCGGTCGGCTTTACCCCCGGGAAAGGACCCCGGTACCCATTGTAGAGGAGGCTGGGTGGGCCCCAGAGCCGGTCTGGACGCAGAGGCTGGAGGAAAAATCCTCTGCCCCCGTCGGGGATCGAACCCCGGTCGTCCAGCCCGTAGCTAGTCACTATACTGACTGAGCTATCCCGGCTCATAGAATGCATAGGTATTCACTTCTATAACGTAGTATACCTTCATAGTGGGATGGCTAGGTAAAGTGGAAGCCTTCTTATACCCACAATTATGTCTGTAGTGTAAAATGGAAGGTGAATGGTTATTAACTGGGATCATGAGAAGGGAGACTGTCGTAAGAAACCTCTCCGTCTATGTCTGGACGAAGTGAGAGAAATTAAAACAAATTTTAACAGACGTGTAGGCCTACAGTCGAATCTTAAACCTTCCGTTTACGAATCAGAAGTGCGAGAAACTTCAATATTTATTCCACAGAACCTGGAACTAATAAATTATTATCGAATTAACTGCGTTGAGCAGAGTAGTTGATGAGCTAATAGTCATTCGGATAGCCGGGAAATTTCCCATGTTTGATGGAATCCTAAAGTTCATTACCGTGTTCACAAGAGCTCATAATATACATTCCCACTAAAGGAAATGAGTACAAAAGTATTCAACCCAAAATGACAAGCGACACTTGAACCCTGAGCCTGGCAGTCAGTAACACTGACCCCTGCGAGGAGTCACAATTGAAAAGCTAACCTGAACTCCCTAAGGCAAACTGTTAGCTTGATCAAAGAAGGTAAGATGAGCTGAGCTTTGTGCTGCGTGGCGTGTCACAGGTGGTGTGTTTCAAGCATTACTCTTTGCCACGTTGCGTTTAAACTGACGTGTAATTGGCTCCATATATCAAGTTTCACAAAGGGTTACGCTGGAACAGAGCTTTCTGCTCTTCACGGACTGACGGAAAGCGAAATTTGTGATGGGAGTCGCTGGACGAGCTACGGCCGTCACAGGTCAGAGCCATCAAAGCCTTTTAGCCGTCCTTTCCGCTACACGTCATGCGAATAAAAATCTTGTACAGAAATAATTAATATACATTTTTTACGTTTATATATTTTTGGCTACGAAACAAACCGTCAGATTAATCAGATATGTTATTTAAACTGATAAATATAGGCTAAACCAAATATGTCTATAAAATATAACTTTTTAATCATATGAGTTTTCTTTGCAGAAGACCACATTTTTTCTAAAAACCTACCCTCTTCCTTCCCTATTGCCAGTTACGGTATTAGCGGTATTAATCTTAGACCTGTACTCGGAAGGTAGCCGGTTCGAACACCAACCAGAAAACTGACCGAGTGATATTTCAAGTTCTAACGGCTGTAGATGATAGAAATTTACCGACGTTTCATCTCTTAAAACGGAGCAATAGCCTATAAGACAGCAATCTTCAACCCAACTGATTTTTTTCATAATTTTACTCATCATACCCAGTCGAATTTTTTAATTTATATTCAGATAGACGATTCCATGAACCATCAACATTTTCAGAGCGTTGAGACCACATCCGAAAATTTGTTCAGTGTGAGCCATTTCTAAAAAAGTAGCATTTGAAGTTCTCACTGCGGTGTGTAAAAATATGGCTGCCTTGTGCTTTGTAGCGCCGAACAAATGGGAAGTATAAATATAAATGAGAGGATAATATTACCACTGATTTACGTGAAACAGAATATAATGCTGCAGATTGAATTCGTCTGGCTCAAGATAGGGAAAGTAGGCGTGTTTTTATTAAAACGACAATAAATTCGAAGATTTTGTGAACGTTTTGTAAAACGTGGAGAATTTCTTCATTTCTGAGTGGCTATTGGTTTGGGCGAGATTGTGTATCGTGTAATAAACTAATGGTTAATGAAATACGTTCAGATTTGTGTTACAATTTGTACCTGAGGTAAGAGTCAACCATA